TTTCCTATTCCATCTGTCAAAGGAGGTTGGTAGGAATGAGCAAAATTTGGAGGCTAGAAGGCACCATTTGTTCCCTTTTGGGGCACCAGAGGATAAGCGCAGAAAATTCACTCCAAACTACACACTGCATAAACATTTGCTAAAAGCTGTGTATCCTGACGAATCATAAGACCTGAATTTTCCAGCGCTATCCCAATTGCAAATCCTCTGTCCTAACTTTCCACATAAACCATCAAAATGTCTCAAAAATTCCACTCTCTCAGTATCCAAACACCTCTCAGGCCTCCTCTTGTACAAAGCAGCAGCACATTCTTTTTTGGACTACCCATCCCAGTCTTTGGTTCAGAAATGCAGTCAGCAGAGCGCTGCTGGCCCCCTGAAGGAAACGGGGTCAAAGAGAAATATCTGTGGCCATCAGCAGGGCCTCACGTTCTCAGACTTGGCTGTTTCCCGGCACATCAAAGTCAGTTATAGCCAGAGGTGACTTCAGTGACCAGAACACCACTTGCTCAGATACACATAGTACGTAGGTGAGCTCTCTGCCTCCACCTACTTACTGGGCTAAAGGCGTCAGTCAGTGTTTGGAAAGCTCTGGGAACAGTGGCTAGCAGCCTGGGAGTACCACATTAGGGTTAAATAGGTAAAACCAGAGCATCCCAGGCAGAGTGGATCCTGCTTCAAAGACAACCAGAGGTGTCACTCCCATGTTGGGGAGACAAAAAGAACTGGCACTAACCCCTGTGCTGGGTAGGTCCAGCCCTGCACAGAGATGGGGGAGCACCCTGTCCATAAGAGTGGGGTCTTGCACCAGTGTAAGTCAAGAGGCTGGGCCTGAGCCAGCACACTGGCCCACATGTCTAGTCCCATCTACTCAGGAGGCTGAGGCGGGAGGATCGCTTGAGCCCAGAAATTCAAGGGCAGCCTGGGCAACACAGCAAGACCCTGCTTCAAAAATAAAAAAAGAATGGGTTTGGAAAGAGTCAGCAGGCCTAAAATATGAAAACTCTCATGTCCTAGGGATAGAGCTCAGTGGCAGAGCACCTGTCTTGCCTGTGTGAGGCCGTGGGTTCAACCCTAAACTAAAACATGGGAGGTCTCTTCATGCCTCTGCATCTCTGTTTCTGCTATTCTGTCCACCCTGAATGCCATTTTTTTTAAAACTTTCAAGGCTTAATGCAAATGTCAGCAACTCCCTATGGTATTTCCTGGTGCCCCTCAAAATGAATGGCCGCCTCCCCCCACATTGCATCTGGTATAATCCCCCTTTAAAGTAGTTATCATGGGGGCTGGAGATGTGGCTCAGCGGTAGCGCGCTCGCCTGGCATGCGTGCGGCCCGGGTTCGATCCTCAGCACCACATACCAACAAAGATGTTGTGTCCGCCGAGAACTAAAAAAAAAAAATAAAGATTAAAAAAAATAAAAAATAAAAAATAAAGTAGTTATCAGATAGATGGGTAGATGGATGGATAGATGGATGGATGGAAGGAAGGAAGGAAGGAAGGAAGGAAGGAAGGAAGGAAGGAAGGAAGGATGGATGGATGGATGGATGGAGATACACACATGCACAAGTGTTACAAATCATTCCAAGGCAAGGTTCAGCTTTCATCTCTGCAGCCCTCTGGCCTGACAAATAGTATAGACTCAAAAAATGTCTGAATTTGTGGTTGACTCTGCTCACAGCTGGTCTTAGAATAACCAATTAATTTGGAGGCTTCAGGTAGGTACAAGCAGAAGCTCGGGTCTCAGAAGCCATGGCCAGATCAGATTTCAGCCAGGAGTCTACCAAGAGCTTCCCTTAGTCTCCTTTGCAGCCCAAGGAAAGAAGATACCTGGATGATGGGAGGCTGAGGTCATGAGGTCGCCAGGGCCCAGACAAGAGCAGTGTGCAAGGGACCTGGATCAGTCCCGTCTGAATCAGAGTTGGAAGGGAGAGCTGACCCTTGGGGAGCAGCCCTGCCCCTGCCAGCCCAGGTATGGCCTCTGGCCTGTGGCATTCCAGCCCTTGCAGCAGACCCTTGGAAGAGTGGAAAGATCAGCCCTGCTTTCTAGGAACTCACTGTCTGGTAGCAGGACAGTGAACCCTAGGATTAGGTCCAGAGGAGTTCTCAGGGACCACAAATCACTGATCCCTCTCAATCTGTGCCAGTCCCTGAGAATTCAGGAGGGAGGTGCTACGTTTCCCTGCTCCCTCTACTACACAATGCTGATCCCCTCTGCTCAGTTATTTCCATTCTAGAAAACAGCACCCCTTGCGTCAGGAAGGTGACAAGTAGTCCTCTCACTCCTGGTCCCGTTCCATCTTTTCCAACTCAGTTTCCTCACCTGCAAGGGAATGGGGGTGGGGAAGTCAGGAGGCCTGGGCAGCAACCCTTCCAGTTCACAGTGAAAGGTCACTGTTGGTCTCAAACCTGAGACCATCTGCCATCTTGGAACCCCAACTTCTTTCTGAGATAAGGTTTGTCTATGAACCTTGCCTCCCTTACCGGGTCCCTAAAACTTGAAGAATGTTAAAAGCTACCAAAATACCTCTGGTGTAACAGACAAAGCTAACGCTCAGAGATAGGAGGAGTGAGCAGTGTGGGATCCTGAATTTGCCTCTACGGTAACTGGGGCTCCTTCTCCTGCGCTAAGCTATCCAGAAGGGCATACCAAGGGTCTGGCCTGGCCTGAACCTGCTGCAGGGAAGTTCACCTGGGCACCCTGTGTTTGTTGGGGGCTGGTCCAACTCAGCATCCCCACCCAGCTTTGCACCTGCCATACAGAAGCAGCTCAATCAGTGGAGCTATTCTGAAATGCCTTTAGTAACCTGACCTTTTACAAGCCCCAGCTAATGTCTAATTTGCATATATGAGTCCTTTTTAGGAGAAGGCAAATCACCAGAGACAACCAGGATCAATATAGAGTATTAGGCACGTTTTATTCTACTCTAATTCTCTGCAAATTGGTATTCCATTAACTGTATGTGGGATTTATGAGAGCTCGCTATAAACTAGAATATTTAACTAGAACAGCCTACTCTCTCCCAGATAATGGCCTACTCTTGTTAATTTTCAACTAGTCAGAAAGGTTTCCAGCTTCCAATATATTCTACATCCTGATTCAATCATGAGGAAAGTCATCCAAGTGAAGGCTTCCATGTGACAAAGGGCAGTTGGATGCACAAGAGAAAGATTTGCCCTGGGACCCAGAAAGACTTGGGTTACATCCCAGTTGTACCACATACTATGTAATTGGCTGCTCAGAGCCTCAGTTTCCTCATCTGTGAAATGGGAGTAACACCAGCCTCGTGGGGGAGTTGTAAAAATCAAATGAGATGATACTGGTAACTCCATACAGCTCCAGAAGGTGATGCAAAGATTATTATCATAAATGCACAGATGGGGGCTGGTAGAGGGCTTGCCTCGCATGCACAAGGCCCTGGGTTCAATCCCTAGCACCACTAAAAAAAAAGAAAAAAAAATGCACAAGATGAAATTCTCAAAAATTCTCAGAAAACAGGGATTATTTAAATTGGCAGTTTCAAAGGAGAAGGGGGGGGCACTAAGCCCCCAAGAGACATTTAACAATGTCTGGAGGCACAACTGAGAGAGGGATTGCTACTGCAGTATACTGAGTAGAGACCAGGGATGCTGCTAAAGGTCTACAATGCATATGACAGCGCCCTCAAAGAGGAATTATCAAACCCCAACTGTCAATTGTGTGAGGTTGAGAAATCCTGATCCAAATAATCGCTTAAAGTTGGGCCTGGGAGTTCTGTAGAACAAAAATCCTCCTAAACAGGCTTTACTTTCTCAAATCATCTGCTTAAACATTTGCAAGATGATCCATCTTGCAAAACAGCTCTTTTGTAAGTGAAGCCAAACTGCCAACTTCTGGAGTTTCTGAATGCATAAAACTGCTTTTAAGGAAGATGCTCTCTGATTACACTTCGGGAAATTGTTTTTCCAAAGCCTCTGCGTTCAGCAGAAGTTCTCCTGGGCACAGACAGGCCCAGAAGATGCTTTGCTAATTCTAATTTCCTGGTGAAATGGGAGCCACGAGGGTCTCTAAATGAATTAAATTCACATCACGCCAACTGCTCGCTTGCTTTGTGCCGGGCACTGAGCCAAACACCTCCACATAATTTATCCCACTTAATCCACCAACAACCCAATGAGGTGGGCATTATTACCGGCTGTTTGCAGAGGAGGAAATGGTGGATCAGAGAGGTTAAACGACTTGCCCAAGGACACCAGCTGTCCAAGGGGGAGCCCAACCTGAACACAGGTCTCCAGTTTCCGAGCCACAAGATCCTTCCATCACCTCGGGAAACCCAGGTGTCAAGTTGTCCCAACTTCCCATAAATTTTTAAGGCAACTGCAACTTCTCAGTAAGTTTAGGTGGCAGAACACGGGCATTTCCCGGGAGCTGAGCGCTCTCACCTACACTCCCCCACTGCAGCTGTCTCACCGCAGTTACCTGATAAATCATTCCCTATCGCCCGCGGAACGGGAGGGTTTATTGGCGCTGGAGTTCGTGCCAGGCCCAGGAAATGCCATCTTTGAAAGCCTAGAGGCGGCTTCGCCCCGGAGACCGAGCTCTGGCGGCCCCCGCCAGCTCGCTCCCCGCGCGCGATGCGCCCCTGGGCGCCCGGAGCCGGGGTCGCTGCGGCGCGGGGCCCTCCCGCGCGCAGGCACCGGGCTCGGCGGGTTGCGCCCGCCCCGCTCGGCCGGAGCGCACGCCCACGCCCGCCGCGCCCGGCGTCCCGGACGCCCGCCCCAGCCCCGCCGCGCCCGCCTCGGCCCCCGCCCTCTGCCCCGACCCCGCCAGGTGAGCGCGGCGCGGCGCCCCCTCCCCGCCCCGACGTGGCTCCGGGACCCCGCGTCCGCCGCGCCGCCAGCCCGCCCGCGCGTCCGCCGCGCGCCTGGGGACAGTGGGGGCGGGGCGGCGCAGAGTGCGCCCCTAGCCCCGGCCGTCCGCACCCTGCCCCCCGGCCCTCTGGGGTCGCGCCGGCCCGTACCTGCAGCATCCGGGGGCGCGGGGCGCCCAGGTAGGTCGCGCGTGCGGGCGGCGCGGAAGCTCGCTCGCGGCGCGACCTGGCCGCCGTCTGAGCATGCCCAGTGCCGCCCGCGGGCGGCTCCCGCCGGCCGGGCTGGCCGCGACGGGCCCGCGCGCCGGGCGGGGGGCGGGTGCCCGGGCGGGCCTGTGGGGCCCTCCCGCCCCCGCCCCGGGCCGCGCGCTCCTGCGCGGCTTCCAGGACCACCTGGCACCACCGCGGAGCTCAGGACCGGCCCCGGTTCCTTGGCTCCCGCACGCAGGCGTTCGTTTCTTACGCATTTATTGAACACCTACTATGTGCTGACCCTCACCATGATTTCATGCCGAGAAATGGCAAACAGTTGGCGCCCAAGAACTCTTTAAAACGAGGGGGAGAGGGGTCTTACACGGCGGGTCAGCGGCTGAAATGGGGTTCTGTTGGCTCTCAGTGCCGTGCTAGTCCGGCTGCTGTAGAAAGCTTCCCGGGTGAAACCTTTCCATCCATGGTTTGTGGGGCCCCCTACCTGATCCGTGTTGCTACTTGACTCTTAAGCCTCCTCTCACACCTGCCTTCCTCCAGCTCCAGGAGCACCTTTCTGTTCATCAGACACTCAGGGCTTGAGCAGCCTCAGGACATTGCACGTCTGTCCCTCTGTAGGACGCCTTTGCCCAGCTTTTCACGTGTCTGGCGCCTCCTCCTTGTACATATATCCCCTCATTGGAGAGGCCTTCCCTGACCACCTTTCTAAATTGGCCCTCGACTTCTTAATTTTCTTCAAAGCATTTGTCACTATCCACTCAACCAATATTGCCGAGTTCCTGCTCCCGTTTTTTTCACGTGCAGTTAACAAACAGACAAAATCCTACCCCATGGTTAGGGGTTGCAGGAAGAGAGACCCGACAACAGATCAACAGCAAATTAGCAAACGAAGTAGCACGGGAAAGGCGAGAAGTTCTTTAATGGGAAAAGTGCCAGGTGAGAAGGCTTGCGGGTGGAGTTGGTGCAATTTTCAATGAAGCGGTCAGTTCAGGCCCTTGAGCTGATGGAGTAGTCTAATCGGGTGGCCCGATCGGGTGACACTGAGAGGTGACATTTCAGCCCCGCAGACGAACGGGAAGAGCATTCCTGGGAGAGGAACCAACCAGTGCAAAAAAGCGCAAGACTGGGAAGGAACTTCGAGAGAGCAAACTTTGGCTTTTCCTGATTTGCTCACTTCTTCAGGTGTGGCCCCTCTGGAACGTCAGTTCTAGGGCTGTAGCTCTGCCTGTCTGCTGCAGTGACCCAGGCCCTTCAGCTGCGCTTGGCACAGAGTATGAACACGTGTTGGATGAATGCGTGAACTGAAGGATGGAGAGAAGCCTGGGACCCTCCGGTCCCTATCCGATTACCCGAGATCCAGGGAGCCATCTGTCCCAGAGCCGTGCGGAGACCCCGGCAATGCCAGATACCTCACTATAGTCCTTGTCACCGTGGCACACGTCCCGCGGTAGCGCCACTGCTGCGGGCGCCGCCCGGGCGTCGCGTCGGGGGAATTCCGATGGAGCGGGAGTCCCTGGGGCAGCGCTGCAGGCGCCCCGCCCCGGTCGGGCCGGGTCGCCGGCAAAACCTGGAGCCGCAGCGCCTGCCCAATACTGCTCGGACCGGCGGGGAGCGCACTGGGCATGCTCGGAGCCGGGCGGGGCTGAGCTCCGGGAAGGAGGAGCCCTCTGGAGGGCCAGCGACGCCCCACAGAGCTCCACCTGGCCTTTGGTGGCTCGCCCTTCCGCCTTCTCCCGGGAGCGGCTGGGGAAGTTCCCCCCACCCCCCAAAGTGCAGTGGGAAAACAGTTCCGAGTTAGCAGAAGGCGTTGTACTCTCTCCATCTCTAGCTGCTGTGGATCTGAGGCGAGCACCTTTCCCTCTCTGTGTTCAAGTAATACGGATTCCCACGCTTTCATATGGGTGGAGTGTGAGGAATTGAATTAACACGAACTTGTTTAGTCCACTTTAAAGGTTTTTGTTTTCTTTTGGTGCTGGGGATTGAACCTAGGGCCTTGCACATGGTTTAGCACTCAGCTGTGAACTTTGCTACAGACCCCCGCTCCCCAAATCTCATTCTCAGTTATTCTTCATCCTCAGACCAATTTGGCAGCTGTCAGAGATGCGAAAACCCGAGGTGAACGGACATGCGAGTTCCTGGAGTTACCCCAATTTGCAATCCACTAGACTGAAACCATCTTTATTTTCTTTCCACATTGCTTACCGTAAGCAATGTTCTCAAATTCGAGCTAGAAATATCCGTATACCTAAAGGAAAAGACCTATTTTTTTTTTCTTAATCATGCATTTCAAATCACCATAACAGGAACCAAATGAAAGGATATTTCCCAAACTGGAAACTAAGTGCTCAACAATAGAGGCATGACTATCAGGTTAGGGTATATGGGTTGAAATAATAACTTTTACACTGAGTTAGAACATGCCGTGCCAGGAAGACTTCGGGAATGTGATAAGTGAAGAAGCTGAGAGGCAAGTGGGTAAAGATGACGTAGCCCCATCACCAAGTCCAGAAGGAAATGGAGAAAAGTGTCAAGTCTGATTTTTTTTTTTTGTAGTAGGGTTATTTTTTTCAAGTTTATCTAAGCAAAGAGCTTAGATAACAGAGTTGATTCATGCTGTAATGTTGTTTTTGCAATAATAAAAACATGTATAAGACCAAATTACAATTTTTTTGTTTTGTTAAGTCTAATAGTAACCATGACTCTGATCAAGTTCAAGTGTGGCCAGTATTTTCTACACATTCTCTCTTCAAGTTTTCCCATCCTCACAGTGGACATTTTTTTTCAGCTCAGTTTTACTGAAGGGCAATCTCAGCCCTGTTTATAGCTGGGAACAGACAGGGTCAGGATTTGAATGCAAGTTAGTTTGATTTCAAAACCAGGGTGTCAGGTTTCAGGGCCCTATGTGTGGTAGCTTACTGTGTTTTGGTAAGAGGAGCCACAGAGTATTTATTTTGGATTTTTTTTTTTTTTTGCCTTATTTTCTTTATCCTTTGATGTGTTCATAGATTACATATTACCTTTAAATGTTCTGGTCTCCTGTTACTCTCTTATTCTTAGGGCCAAAATGTTAAAGTCCATCCTTTTTAATCTGCTGTATCTAGAGAGACATAATGTTATTATCAGCAGAGAGAGTTGATCTTGTATCAGAAGTTCTCAAACCTTATTCAAATGGGGTTTTTGGAGGAACCCCTAGTCTATAGTTGAACATTGCAAATCTAAAGCAAATTAGGCCCAGATGGGAATAAAGCTGCACAGAAAGAATCCAGATAACCAGGCTGGTTCAGACAGAACCCACATAGATGACTGTTCTTGGGCAATAATTTTGGGGGCAGGGTCACAACTCAGTGTAACCATGGTCCATGAACTTCTCAGGAACTCGCTGATAAAAAGTAGAGCTGACGGCCTTGATACTATTTGCTGAGGCAGTCATAGGTCCCAGAGGGAGCACTGCTCCTGTTGTTAAACCCCCCCCCCAAAACTAATTGGCTCTCCCTTTTAAACATACTGGTAGACTAGCCCAGAAATCTAGAAACCAAGAGACAGCAACAACAAATCAAAGAGGGTCATTTCACTGGGGAGGAAGAGAAGCCACAAGCTGAGTACACGTCACTAGTAATGGACCAGATTCATACAGGAGGGATGGGAGATGAGAAACGAAACAGTCATTAGTGACATTCCCAGAAACTGCCGTTTGGACAGAAGATCTGGTGGCAGGCACTGCACACCAGCAGTTGGTTGGGGAAATTTATAGGAAGAGATTCCTAGAAGAATTGGTGAGAACTGTCATTTATATGAAGACTCAGCAAGTCTGGGCTCCACTTGAACTGCTTCAGTGATTGACAGGGCGGGGCTCCCAGCCGACATGCTAATGTTCATGAATTATTTGTGCAGCTAATGCAAGTCCAGGAAGGGCCCAGAATCCGGAAATACTTGGGCAAATGTTGCTGTTGTAATAGCATGGAAAAACACAGTGTAAAATTATATGCACAGTATAGACTCAACTATGTGAATTACCAGGTTGAAACATAGAATATTGCCAATGTGTGGGTAAAAAATGGTTGAACATGGGCAGTTTCCTGTATTTCAACTCAATAGGTACATATAGGAAAAAAAACAAGAAAGAACTGCACCAAGAATCTTGGGTTGTGGCTCAGTGGTAGAATGCTAGCCTGTCATGCATGGGTTTGATCCTTGACACTGCAAGACCAAACAAACTAAACCAAAATATTAACTGGGTTTGATCCTTGACACTGCAAGACCAAACAAACTAAACCAAAATATTAAAGTGGCTGTGTCCCGCTATTACATTTATAGTCAGAGAAACAAGCTACAGAAGGTCCTCAAGTTGTGGGGCTTCTATTTCTTCATATATCTTTAGAGTTCACAAAATCTTATTTTACAAAAACATGTTTTTTTGTTTGTTTTTGTTTTTGTTGCTGTTGGTTTGTTGTTGTTGTTGTTGTTATTGTACTAGGGATTTTTGAACTCAGGAGCACTGAACTGTTGAGCCACATCCCCAGTCCTGTTTTTGTATTTTTTAAAAGACAAGGTCTCAATGAGTTGCTTAGCACCTCAATTTTTGCTGAGGCTGGCTTTGAACTTGAGATCCTCCTGCCTTAGGCTCCCAAGCCACTGGGATTACAGGTATGCACCACCAAGCCTGGCCAGTGTGTTTCTTTTATTATGAGGGAAAATGGAATGAATTTAAATGTTGTCAAACAGAAAGAAATGAGGTCAAGAGGGGGAAAAATGGTTACTCCAGAATTATCCAAAGAATGTGAGAGAGGGGCATGCGTGTAATTCCAGTGGCTTGGGAGCTGAGACAGGAGGACCAAGGGTTCAAAACCAGCCTCAGCAAAAGTGAGGTGCTAAGCAACTCAGTGAGACCCTGTCTCTAAATAAATTACAAAATAGGGCTGGGGATGTGTGGCTCAGTGGTCGAGTGTCCCTGAGTTCAATCCCCAGTACCAAAAAAAAAAAAAAAGAGGAGACTCTTCTTGGAGGGAGAAGTGGGTATGTCTACCACACCAGA